TTAATAGCTCCTCGAACTCCTCTTCCCCTATTATCAGGTATTCGAAATTCATTGGGCTCCAGAACTCCAATAATCCGCATATTTGAGTGATTTTACCTAATTTTTAAATAGTTCTTCACTCATAGCTTTCTTCTAAAAACGACAATAGTAAAGAAAAGAGTTCTTTACTATTAATAATCATGTTTTTTCGTCTTCCAAACGTCCAGTAATAAAATTTTGGCCGTTATCCCACTACATCATGCAAAACATGACGATATATCGATATTAATCACGCAATAATATTGATAGTGTTTAAAAATAACGATTCAATAAATATATATGCTTTTTTCACATCCCTATGAACGAGAAAGGGCGTAAAATCAGGGTAGCGTAATAACTCAGGTCCCTAATTAGGGGTCACGCCCACCCTACATTCAGGGCCCTGATTCAAGGTAGTGTAATAGGGGCATAATGTAATGTAATGTTTCTTTGTTTGATTCCAAAAACATTTGATCATGCTTTCTATTTGCTATAATTGGAAATAAATCTAAAGTACCTCAAACATAACAATAATATAAAACATAACATTTCAAATAGATTTAACTCTCAACAGTAAAACTTTATTTTTTATACTTTCAACAGTAAAATTATGAAAGACATGATATTACTCAATTCGTACAATTCAATACAGTGTACATTTTGAGTACCACTTAAACGAATATACGGTGATTTAGCCGAATATTCGGTAAAGCTGCCGAATACCGAATATGAAACGAATATTCAGCCCATCTCTAAATTTAATGGAGCTATAATGTAAAATTGCTTACTTAATTAGCAATTGGTTTCAAATTTATTTCAATTCCAAGCGATCTCAATTTTATTCTTGACGCATGTTAAATACATATTATAATTGAAGAAGTTGAGTGCAAATTTATATTACTTAATTTTTTTAAATTTGTTATCTTTGTTTCAAGCTGTTCATTAATTTTTTTATTTAAGTTGAATAAATGTACTGATATGTATTATTGTAATAACTATTATTGTATTTGTGTGCTGTTTTTTAATAAATCCTGTAAATATAATGCTAGTTTTATTTATTTTGATTTTAATTATTAATATCTGTGATGAGGACAAGTATCTCTATTCAAGGCCGCGAGCTAAGGACAAGTATATATACGTAGGCGCTATATATATATATATATATATATATATATATATATATATATATATATGGCTTATGTTTATGTTAGCTTATGTTTATAGATAATAGATATTACAATAAAGTTGCTAACTACGACCTATAAAATGGCAATGCATAACTAGCGCCACCTCGTATCCCTAGTTACTAACTAGGGATACGAGATGGAGCTAGTTATGCATTGCGAAGATTGGTCTCTATTTCAGTTTATACAAAGGTATTCTGTGGGTTAGGTGTAGCAACATATATCTCCATTATTTTAGTCGCTACATTTTTAAACGTAGCCAAGTTCATCTGCCCGGGACAATACAACCTTCAGCCTGTATTGTCCCAGGCAGATACATGAACTTGACTACGTTTAGAAAGGTAGCGACTATAATACTGGAAACGTATTCTCCTACACCCAACCCTGCTACTTGTGTGACAGTTCGGAGTTGTCCTATATATACTGTTTCTGATTCACACCTTCGATAGCGCGATTTAGGCTTCGGCGTGTTTCGCTTGTGGCGCCACATATAAAAGTAATTCTAAAACCAATAAAGTTTCCAAAGATATCTAATACGTAAAAATCATTAAAAGCTTGGAACCACAATATGTTAAAGATTTTAAAAAAATAACTAAATGGTATTTATAAGTAAACATTAAGTACTAAGCAGTTAAAAGTAATACAATACATACAACCTATAGTGAAGCTACGAATTATATTAAGTTTTACAATATTTTTTTATAACTATTATATTTAAGGTGAAAAATATCTAGTTAACAATATATTAAGTTAAAATTTTTACATGTACGAGATACAAAATTATTTGAAGCATACTTCGTTTTAACTTTACGTAATGCAAAAAGAGGTTTAATTCGTGCACCTAACCGGTGACACGCAAGATTCACTTTGCTTAAAAGTAAGGGATAGTCGATGATATTATGTAGCAATTTGTACAACAACATTTGATCTCTTATATCCCGGCGTTTTTCGAATGTATTACTGTCTTCCACTTAAAGCGGTATAATAAGCATTATCTTGCTTTAAGTGACGCAGAAACTTATTATTGATTGTTTCAATAATTTTAACATAAACTTTGTGTTGAGGATTCCAACATGAAGAACAATATTCAAGAATAGACCGCACCAGAGTACTAAATAGTATAATTAATGTTGTAGAGTTTTTAAAATCTTTTGAGATACGCCAAACAAAACCTCATTTTGCAAATAAACTATATTATAATTTATCATAAAGTTTAATGATTGAAAAATAATTAGAATACGAGTACCCTTAACAGGTGGTCATAACCGAAAAATGTGATGAGAGAGTAAGAACGCTTTAGGAGTAATCAAATACGGCGATTATTTTCATTTAAAAACTTCCGCGCGTGCCCCTTTTTAACCTTCCGCCCCTAGCACGTGCCACGTGCACGTGCCCTGGCACTTGCCAAGGTTGCCTTCAGAATAATCCGCAATAAATCATAATTCCAACTTCTTTACGTATACTTACTGTGTATTAGTAGCTGCCATGAAACTAAAAAATACTTTGCATAACTTAGATAAGCGGCTGCAGTTATGACGTCACTGGAGTCAAGTGGTCTCCACCAAACCAATCTAAATGAGAGACCCTATAATATAAGCTTACAAAAAATAATACAGATGTTTCATGTAATTATTGGTTTATTTTTCAGGTATTATGCGCACTGTCGTTCCTTGCTAGTGGTAGTTACAGAAAATATCGCCACTTACGCAAAAATATCTACACATATGTGTCGCAGCCTTCAGTGTCCCGTTGTGTTCATGAGGTTGAGGAAGCTCTTAACCATCCGAGTGTTGTCAAAAATATATTTGAATTCCGCAAAACTTTGAAGAAAGGCTCCAACTAAAGGAAAAGTAGGTACCTACGAGAACAAGAGGAAAGGTTTGCTTTTAAATAGCGCATTGACGGCACATTTAGAAAATATTTTATTTTAACATAATAATATATAATTAAATATAATTTTTAAATTTATGCATTTTTGATGGCACGTTTGGCGCAATGGCTGAAGCACCCGAATGTAGTGCCGCGGGTCACGGATTCGATTCCCGCATGGAGCAAACATTTGTGTGATCCACAGGCCACAGGTAGTTGCTGTGGGTCTGTATGTAAGTGCATGTAATATTCTATGTAAATGCACCCACGATACAGGAAATATATCCAATGTAGACTAACATTTTAAAAAGAATTACAGATTCTTCACAAAATGTAATATTTCTGGAGTAATAGGATGTGTTGATGGGACCTACATTACAATGATGACACCACAACAGAATGAAGAGAGTTATTACTCGAAAGCGAAACCATGCAAGAAATGTGCAGTTCGTAAGTATACAGAGCTTGTGAAAGTAAAATACAAACATTGAAAAGGCCAGTGTTTTTACTATAATAATATTTTTTGTTCTATAGATCGTGTATTTACTATTTATAGTTGTGTGCTATTTTTACTAATTGTGCAGGCCTTCCTGTTCCAGATATGGGCGAGTATAATATACAAGAAGAAATTCGTTTTCACACTGCAATACGTGCACGAGGCTCTAGTATTGAAGGTGTATCCAGAGATACTATTTTAGGGCAATCAAGTCGAGTCTTAGTAAATAGACTATGGCGTGCGAGGAACATAATTAATTAAGAAATTTTACAAAAAAAAATTTAATACTTCCGCCAACAACTTCAACCCATCCCTAATGACCTGCATTACTTGAGCTGTAGAGCAGTCCCTTTCTATCTGATTATCCAGATAGGATTGCAATATTGCAAGGCTCTGCTGTTGGAACTTCCACTTGTAGGAACCGCTCGCCTAGACTAGTTAATTTAGACTGTCGCTGTGATGGTAGTGACATTGGTCTGCGACGTCTGGCACAACAACTTAAAGTTGCTACAAAGAGACCAAAGTCAAAGAAGAATGCCCATAGATGTATGGAATCTCGTACCAAGTTGCATCAAAATCAAATTTTGTTTTTCGTAGACTACGATGATCCTATTAACTCCTACAAAAGTTCTTTTTGAAAAAAAAAGGGTTTTAGAGTTACTTTATAAATTCGAAAATAACCTAAAAACTATTACGTCACTTTTTCGATGCTACCAACGACCTATTTTAAATTGCCACTTTAAACATGGACAAACATTAATGCTCTAAAAACCAATAATATTAGTAATCCATTAATATTAGTAAGAATTACGAGTCATAGCAACACATAGCCGCGCCATCGAATGCGTGACTGAAATCAGGATTACCAAATAATCCTTCTGGTATTATTCTATTTCTAGAAGCAACATCTTCAACATTCATATGATCAAATCCTAAATACAATGGAACAAACTCATTAATTAAACATGTTCTGGCCTTATTCATTAAGCGTTCTAAGGTGACACGAGATTTATTAAAGAGAGTTGCCAAACTTTCATTACTATCACCAGTTCTAAGCTTTACTAAGTAAATGCTTAAAGCAATCGTGGCATTTGGTACTTGTCCTGCTAGACTTGGGATACACTTTAACAAATCATAAAACTGATCCGAGTTCATGCCTAACCAAAAGTGACACAAATATGTAGGCATAATTAAAATATTTGAGAAATCTATATGGTAATAGGCAGGTTGCTGCATTATTCTTATAATTGAGTCGAATTGACTACCAGTAAAATATTTTAGCTGGAAATTTAATTTGCTCCAATGGCCATGATCCAGGTGGTGACGACAGATTCGTGCTGCTGGTGGCACATAGAATTTATTATTAAGTAATAACAGGTCCTAGTAAATGTTCTGTTTCAAAACAATTAACAAATATACAGTGATTGGATGTGCTAGCCGCATGCAGAAGACCTAATTGTTAGATTTGATCTAACATGAGTAGTGTGTAGGTTTGTTTGTGGAAGAGGGGGCGGCTCAGGAATATTGAGATCGCTACTTGATCCAACATTAGGCAAAATAGCTTCTGACAGACTAGGGCCATTGGGGTTGTGCTGATCACGACGCTGCAATTCTCTTGTAGCTGATCTCCAGCAAGCAGCAAATACCCTTTCCATATTTCTCTCCTTTCTTTTTCTTGAGATCTAAAAATAACACAATTAAACACGTCATATGAAAAATTTCACAATGGGATATAAACTTGATAAAAGTGTATATTGTAATGTGATGTAAATGTTAGGGGTACATTTTTTTATAAGATAGGGTGACAAACGAGCATAAAGTCAACCTGATGTTAATTAGTATTTGCTGTGGCCCATAGACATCTACATCTATTCTCGATTACAAATCAAAATGCAGATGCATTGTCACTCCTGAGGACTACGATGGAATGCCTTGTTTCCAGTAAAAAGGATCTCTGGTTCTTTACACTCACTATACGAAACACAGCAGCATTAAGCTGCTATTTCACGATGGTATTCTGTGAGAGCATGGTCCTTACCCAGTCGAGGCGACCCATTCATGCTACAAATATACTACTAGTTTAGTTGCAGCATGGCTCTCCACATATGATAATGATCAGGCAGCAATTGTGTTAAAATAGATAATATGGGTGCAGGTGGCCGGAGGCCCAAATCACCGCCCCCATCTACATGGTAGCGGAATTAAATGATGATAGACTACCCCAGGAGGGTACCAGCACCGCAGGAGAATCCCTCGCTGAGCATCCACGATGATGTTTCTCCACTTCTGAGCGTGGGTGCTCAGGCTGCCCCGCGTATTCTGGGGGGGGGGCAAAATTCCGCTCAAGACTACAACTGCTCGGGGCAAACGGAGCAACAAAACCAAGGCGACCCCTGCCACGCCGTCCGTGAATTTCTGCAATATCAGGGGACTTCACTCTAACGTAAACGCCGTCCATTACCATCTCGAGACGGCGAGGCCGGCTCTGCTCTTTCTGACCGAGACGCAGGTGTCCTCTCCGGCTGATGTCTCGTATCTCTCTTACCCGGGGGTACAAACTGGAACACTCCTTTGTACCTCGGGCTGGAGTTTGCGTTTACGTCAGAGAGGACATCTGTTCTCGACGCCTCGGCAGACTTAAAGATTCGGACCTGTCCATCCTTTGGCTACGCGTAGACAGCGACGACCATCCGCGCGTCTACGGGTGCTTCTATAGGTCCCATAGCGGTAATGCCGAAACAGACCACTCTCACACACAGACTCTTCGACCACGTCCAAATGGCTACAGATTCGTTGCTACAGCAGATCCCCTCCGCAGAGATCGTGATCCTCGGCGACTTTAACGACCATAACGCCGAATGGCTTAATTCACGTTTAACTGATCATGCGGGGAGATCTGTTCATGATTTTGCCTTGGCATATGGTCTGACACAACTGGTTACTTCGCCTACGCGGATTCCAGATGTGGAGGATCATGCACCTTCCCTGTTGGACCTTCTGCTGACCTCTCACCCGGACGGATATCAGATTTCCGTTGACAGCCCTTTAGGCTCCTTGGACCATTGTCTTGTTCAGAGTGTGTGCCACTCACGCTGAAATCGCAGTTGCAATCTGCAGGCTGCCGCCGTGTTTGGCACTATAGGTCAGCCGATTGGGGTGGGATGCGGTCTTTCTTTGCACCCTACCCTTGGGGGCGGGTTTGCTTCTCGCCGGATGATCCCAACTTTGTTGCGGATTCTGTCACTGATGTGGTACTTCAGGGTATGGAACTTTTTATTCCTTCCTCTGTGGTGCCCATTGGAGGCAAATCTCAGCCATGGTTTGGTCACTCCTGTAAAATAGCATCATGCTATAAGCAGGAGTGCTACCATGCCTGGGCTGACGCATCATCGTCCCGGGATGTAAACACCAGCGCTCTAAAAATTAAGCATAATTCCGCATCTAGATCCTTCAAAAGAGTCATTGCCAAGGCAAAGTCAGAGCACATAGGCAGAATTGGCAAGAAACTAGTCCGTCTTCCTTCTGGAACCCGTGCATTCTAGTCTCTCGCCAAGGCTGTCCAGGGGAATTTCTGTCAGCCATCTTTTCCATCTCTGCACAGGGAGGACGACTCACTGGCCCATACCGCAAAGGAGAAAGCCGATCTTCTAGGCTCTTTCTTTGCGTCCAACTCGACTCTCGATGACGGGGGGAGAATGCCGCCGACCATCCCGCGGTGTGAGTGCTCCATGCCGGAAGTGCAGTTCACACAGCGCTCGGTTTGCAAAGCACTCCTCTCCCTGGACATCCACAAGTCGAGTGGGCCCGACGGGATCCCCCCAATTGTGCTGAGGACGTGTGCTCCAGAGTTGGCACCGGTTTTAACGCGTCTTTCCTGGTACTCCTACTCCCTAGGCGTAGTCCCAAAATCATGGAAGACGGCTTTCGTCCACCCGATCCCTAAAAAAGGCGACCGCTCAGACCCGTCCAACTACCGGCCTATCGCCATCACCTCCTTGTTCTCCAAAACAATGGAGTCCATTGTAAACTGCCAGCTCATGAGGTACCTTGAGGATCACCAGCTGATTAGTGACCGCCAATACGGTTTTCGCCGTGGTCGGTCAGCTGGTGATCTTCTGGTCTACCTAACTCACAGATGGGCGAAGGCAGTCCAAGGGGAAGGCATTGGCCGTTAGTTTGGACAATGCGAAGGCCTTCGATCGGGTTTGGCACAAAGCGCTTCTTTTGAAGCTCCCTTCCTATGGGCTTCCCGAGAAATTGTGCGATTGGATCACCAGCTTTCTTGCAGATCGGGGCATCAAGGTCGTTGTAGACGGTGCAAGCTCCGATTGCAAGCCTATTAGTGCTGGTGTTCCACGAGGCTGCGTGCTATCGCCAACGTTTTCTTTGTACCCGTAACATTCATTGCTATGCAGATGACAGCACTGGTGATGCTCTTTACACCGGCCGAGCCAATATTTCTCGGGAAAACGTCTCCGAGTGCCGGGACAAACTTGTGTCTGAAGTCGAGTGTTTGCTGAACAGAGTCTCGGATTGGGGGCGACTAAATTTAGTCCAGTTTAACCCCCAGAAGACACAAGTTTGCGCGTTAACCGCTAAAAAGAACCCCTTTGTCATATCTCCTCAGTTTCAAGGCACTCCCCTTGTTGCCTCAGCCAGTATCGGAATCCTCGGCGTCGACATATCGAGTGACGTGCAGTTTCGTGGTCACTTGGAAGAGAAGGCCAAATTGGCCTCTAAAAAGCTTGGCGTGCTCAGCAGAGCGGGACAGTATTTTATGCCGGCACACCGCCTGTAACTTTACAAGGCACAGGTTCGGTCGCACTTGGAATACTGTTCCCATCTCTGGGCTGCGGTTCCCCAGTACCAGCTCCTTCCACTTGACCGCATCCAGCGCAGAGCGGCTCGAATCGTCGACGACCGAGTGTTTTCCGATCGGCTCGATTCACTGGCACTGCGAAGAGATGTTGCATCTCTTTGCATTTTCTTTCGCATATACCATGGAGAGTGCTCTGAGGAATTGTTCGGATTAATCCCAGCCACCAAATTTCGTGAACGCACTACGCGGCAAACGTCGTGATACCATCCACATCATCTGGATGCTTGGCGGTCCATCACTGTACGTTTCAAGAGGAGTTTTCTTCCGCGTACAACCTCTCTGTGGAATAGTTTACCACCAGCGATTTTTCCTGACCGATACGACCTGGGGACCTTCAAGAGCGTACTCCTTTCTAAAGGGCCGGCAACGCACCTGCAATTCCCCTGGTGTTGCGCTTGATCATGGGCGGCGGTAGTCACTTGACATCAGGTGAGCCGCATGCTCGTTTGCCCCCTCTTCTATAAAAAAAATATTATCTAATACCCACAACATTATTTATTTGTGAGACCTTCACTTATTGGGACTCAATATTATAAACACATCTAATTACAGTATTATAACTAAAAACTGTAGGAAACTGGAGAACATAAGAACATTAATAAGAAGTTTATCTCTTTCTATATTGCAACATAAATAAAAATGTTTACCAGATGCAGCGGAACATGTACAACTAAAATGTTTCTCTCTTAGCGATCTTGTGTTACTGAATATGTTCTAGTTGCACGTAGAATATTGTAATAGTGGAGACGAACTGTCCACTATTAACAGACTCTGAGTGGTTTTCTTTAAGGTGGAGAAATGAAACTACTGTTTATGTTTATGAATGTACTGTCGAATGGGATTCGGAATGGAATATCTTTTGCATCAACCTTGCCTATATTTATATGGCTGGCTCACTATTGATTTGCCAATGGTAACAATTAATATTTTGCCTAGCCAATTATATTGCTTATTTTATGACCAATGAAAACTATTTAAAATATACAATTATCTACGTTTCGTTTCCCGGCGTGAGACTTGTTTGTTGTTCACGAAGCTACGTCGCTGGACCGGGCTATATAAGACATGCAGATCGGTGCGCACGCGCAGGACATTCCGCCTGTGGCATCGCTTCCGAGCGGTTGCATCCAGGTAGTCCGCGCTTTCGTTCCTGTACGGTAGTGCTCCCCGCTCTCGCGCCCCCGCTGTCCCGCTCGCGCTGTACAGCGCCGACGCAGTGCTCAGTCCGCCGGCGGCACCGCTCTCGGACGGTCGCCTCCCTGGTGGTCCGCGCTCCCGTACAGTACGGTAGTGCTGTCGCGCTCTCACGCGCCTCCGCTGTCCTGCTCACGCGGAACAGCGTCGAGGCTGCCGGTGAGTCACTTTTTTGCTACAGCTCTTGCCCCCCTGTCTTCGGGCAGGGAGGTCTGACTGACTTCCGCTTTTCATTTCATTCTTCATTTTGACTTGTCATTTCATTTCATTTTCATTATCATTTTTTTTTTTTTTTGTGTTCTTGTTATTCTTGTATTACGTGTATAGTGTGTCGTAGTACGTCTCGCGATCTAGTCCCTGTTCTACCGAGAGCAGGGACCCGTCCTCATCTTTGCTTTCTCACCTTTAGCTTCTTATCCTAAAATGGCCAACTCCAGTTTTACTGAGTCCCTAGCCGCCCTCATTACCCAATATGGGTTAAGTGGCAATGAGACGGTCCTCGCCGCCATCGCCACCATCGCCACCATCGCCGCCCAGGCTCCCACCCCTGCCCCTCAGGCACACCTCCCGCCGCCGGTAATC